GAAATGCAAATTAAAACCACGCTGAATTACCATCTTACCTCAGTTATTACAAAGACAGAAAATAAATGCTGGCAATGATAATGGAGAAATGGGAACCCTTATACATTGTTCACGGGATCGTAAATTAGTACAGTCATTATGGAAAACAGTATGGAGGTTTCCCAAACAACTTCAGATAGAACCACCATATGACTCAGGAATCCCATTATCAGGTATATATCCAAAGGAATGGAAAGCATCATGTTGAAAGGATACCTGCACACCCATGTATATTGCAGCTCTGTTGACAATAGCCAAGATACAGAACCAACATAAATGTTCATTGACAGATCAGTGGCCAAAGAAAATGTGATACATATACACAATGGAATACTACTCAGCCGTAAAAAAAAATGAAACTCTGACATTCACAGCAACATGGGTGAGTATGGAGCAAATTATGCTATGTGAAATAAGCCAGACAAAGAGAGAGAAATACTGCATGTTCTCACCCATATGTGGGAGCTAAAAAAAGAGAATAAAACAAAGCAAGCAAACAAACAAGGAAAAACTAATGAATAATAATAATAAGCTGAAACATTAAAAGGAGAAAGAAGAACTTTGGTACTAGAGATGAGAAAGGGGAGGGGGAAGGAGGGACAGTGAAAGGCTGATTAATGGACACAAAAGTACAGTGAGACAGGAAAAATAAGTTCTACTGGTGTACAGTTGACCCAGTAATCTATAATCAATAATGTTTTACTGCATATAACAAACCAGCCAGAAGAAAGGAGATCAAATGTGCACATCACAAAGAAATGGTAAAGTTTTGCAATGATGAATAGGCTAATTACCCCTAATAGATCAACACACATTGTATGAATGTATTGAAATATAACTCCACACCTTATAAATAGGTACAATTAATCCATTTCAATAAAAATGCTTTTAAAAAGCAAAAAATATAGGTCACCCAAACTAGACCTGGAGCATAATGCATTTCAGTCAAAGGGATGAGAAAAACTGACAGGTTCTAGTAATGTTGTTATGTCATTTAATTTGAATGTCTGGGAAAGTAATATAAGATTGAGATCAAGACGTCAGCAGAGTCAGTTTCTTCTGAAAGCCATGAGGAAAGGATCTGTTCCATGCCTTTCTCCCTGGCTTGTAGCTGGCCTTTTTTCTCCCTCTGTCTTCACTTCATCTTCCCTCCCATGTCTGTATTAGTCCGTTTATGTTGCTTACAACAAAATACACGGAACCGGGTATTTTATAAAGAAAACGAAATTTATTGCTTAATGTTTCTGAGGCTAGGAAGTCCAAAGTCCATCTGGTGGTGGCGACAGTGACCCAGGAGCCTCACATTGCAAGATGGTGGAAACAGAGACAGCAGAGAGGAAGACAGACTCTCCTCTTCTT